TGGTTCACAGTAAAAAGATTCTCAAATGTGTTACCCTGAATTTAGATTCTTTGTCCAATCCAGGTCGCCATCAAGCTGCAACTCTGTTGTGATGCTGAATCAGAGGTGCAACTTGGGAAATAGATTAAAAAAATAAAGCTTTTATTGTGCCGGTATTTTCAATCCAGATAGTTAAATGGATTATACTGCTTTAATGATTTCCCAACTGAGTGTGGGTTGGTTCCATCTCCATCTGATTGGATACGGCACGAGCCACAAGCGGAGGAGTTAATGAAGCTCCTCCACTGTGAAGTCTACAGTATTTGATCGGTATCACAGGCTGCTCATCGGTACATCCACCACTCAACACTGGAGGCTCAGGTGCTGGTCTCAGCTCCTCCACCACCTTCCCCTCCTCATCCACATCCTCCTTTTTGACTTCCTCCTCCACCAGATGTGAGTCGTTTTGTGTTTGGAGTTTTCCTATTGCAGAGCAGCCATATCTGACTGGTTCCTGTTAAGTGACTTCTGTAACTCTGCCAGATACTAATTATGGTTGTTGCAATACCAGGCTTTTATTGTGTCATGATGCTGCTCCGTCCTCTCATGAATGGCAGTATCTGACTTGCTCTCAAGAGTTACCTCTGAATGCAGCAGTGTTTTCTGCATCTCCATGGCCGTGAGCTGAAACTCTTCTGTTTAACAAACCGAGCTCCAGATTTTTTTCCCACAGCCTCCTTCTGCCATCTTCTTGTCAGCAACAATAGCATTGTCTTGCTTCCCACCTCAAGCATCGTGTTAAACATTTCTTTCCCATTCTCTCTGGTTCTTTGCTTCTCCTCATTCTCCTTCTCCCTCAGCTTGTCTTCGGATTGCGAGGCTGTGGAACGTTTTTAGGCGGTTCAATTTCTGTGTGAAAAACACTTCACTAATTGTACTTTTTTGTGCAAAAACAGGCAACCTGCTGATTTTCTGGATGTTCGTCCTACATAAACCCACAGTTTACCTGAATCTGCTCTGTGATCTTTGTTGTGAGTAATCCTTTGTTCTTGTTCCTGTAAGTGGAGGCTCAAAATGTAATAATCATCATGTCTACCATTTGTTGGTAAACAGGTAACTTTTGACCTGGGGTCATGTGCCAGAGACTGGACAATAAATTTCAACTGTAGCCAGGACAGATGCAAAGTTAGAGCATTACAGAGATGGAGGTCAGTCAAGGGTGGAAAAGAAAGTAAGGACATCGTGATGGGAGGAGGAGGGGGGTAGAGAGAAAATACTGCAGAACAAAGCGAGCAAAATAAGCCTGTTAGAGGTGGGGGTGGGGTGGTGGTAATACAAGGAAAGATGCTGTTTATTTCCATGACCTAATAGCACTGGTAAACATTTAGATGGCGGCATTTCCTCTACCTCGTGGGGTAATGAGAAAGCAGAGGAACATGTGTAAAATGGTAATGAAGTACTCTTTCACGGTACAGCCTCCTGGCTGTGGTTCACACATTCAGTGTGGATAAACCTGCCATCAGATATTAATGCTCACAAATATCCCACTGAACAATGCAAAATGTGAATATATTAAAATTACAGATACATAAGAAATCCAAGAAATTGTCAGATTTGAGGAAGTTAAATCTGCTAGTATTGGCATTCTTGGATGATAAATACCTTAAATTATGAAAGGATTGAAAAATAAATGGCTACTGTGGACATTTCAAATGTCATTCTTTTTTGTCCCTTTGTATTAAACGCTGAAAACAATAAAGTCTGATTGGTTTCTGGTGATCAATCGATTGTTCCAGCACCAACACAACAGCGTGCTATAGGCTCGCTTAAATCACAGCAGCACAGAGACAGCTTGACCTGTCTCGATTGAAGCCTGCATCGCTGATCGTACCGAGACACCGCAATGTAATAAAACTTGCACCGACATCTCATAATATGTGATCTACTCAAACGTCATCACTCACACCTAAGCAGAAACATCGGCTAACAGCAGACAAATCGATGGCTTCCTCTACAGAGCAGGAAGGGAATCAAGTTGGACTGTGGTACAAAGAAAAAAAAAAGTGGTGACGTGACAGAGACTGGGGTGACAGTGAGCATCGCTGAGTGACGGAGAGCGGCACAGGAAGAAAGGTGCAGCTCACAGGAGATATTCAAGAGCAGCGGTCGTGACAAGAGCGTTGGGGTCATAACTCATTCTGTCTGTCCGCTGTGGTTTATAGAGTGGGACAGAAACTGGTTGACAAAGAGAAGGGCACCCCCCCCACCCTTTCAACAACACACACACTGGCCTATGTCCTGGGCTGCTGTACACAGAGCAAGCTGCTGACTGGGCACTTTGGGCGCCTGCTCAACTTCTCAACAAAAGGCTTGTTGTCTACCTCTCTCTTGCACCCTCTTTTTATCACCCTCTTCTGTCTGTCTGGCGAGTACCTCCCTTTAAGTGTGCGGAAAAACAAAACCACTCAATGCAGGGGGGAGAAGATTATAATAAATCTAGGAAAAGAGAAAGAAAAGTTTTTTTAAAAATGCAAGGAGGGGGGGGTAAAAGGACAATAAAGATTGGGAATGACAAACCAAAACGAGGAGAAACTAAGGCAAACAGAAGGAGGAGGACAGTGGACGCTGCAGCCTGTCAGTGAGAATTGTGTTGTCCTCCTCTCAGAGCGCGTTTAAATCACTGTCACAGACCCTTGAGTTGAAAAGAGTGGGGGGATGTGCAGGTGTCTACCACTCTGTACCTTCAGGTGGAAGATGCAGCTCAAGGAGTGGAAACAATCTGAGGCATGAAATCAGCTTGATTGTAGCCACTTGGATTTATGAAATGACTTCAGTTGCGTTTGACAGTTTGCTCTGCAGCATTAATACTATGAAACTTCACATACTCTGTATTTGAGAGAATCTTCTGCTCTGCAATTTAATCACAGATTTTGTAAGAAGCCAAAGTCGCCCTGGCACATGGGTGAACAAAACCAGCTAAATAATGAATAATTTGCGTGTTTCTTTTACAGCAAATGTGCAGGAGTTTGCCAGCAAAATAATAATAATAATTTACTGAGCCCAAGCTTAAACAACGGAGCATTTGTCCGTGGTCTTTTTTCTCCTTTGATGTGAGGATGTTTATTTGGGGTTTGGTTGATTTCATATGTGTGCGTGTATGAAGGCTCAGCTGGCAAAGGAGGCACATCTGAGAACAAGAGCAGGCAGGCAGCATGAGAGGGGGACGAGTCGAGAGCAGGTTGCCATCAGTGAGACTCATCACACACACGCACACACATATTCACGCTTTTCACACACCCTGCGTCATTCACAGAAACACACCATAGAGGGCTCTGAAGATTTCATCCCTGCGTGCTCTTTTCTACCAGCCTCTTTGCCTTAGAGGTACTCTGTAAGCAGCTTGTCTTCGCTCTCTCTCACAGGTGTGGTTAAAACACTGTATTCACATCAGACAAATCACTACGCTTAAGATAATAAAGGCACATGTGGGGGGAAAAAAAACAACCCGCAACACGTTAAGTCGAAACAGAGGGAGCCAAGAGCGTGGCGGCTAATACAGAGGAGTGTGGAGGCATGATAAAGCGTGTCTCACAGAGAGAGTTTACACCAGAGAGAGGAGAGGAGAGCAGGGGCCTAATCCTCTGTTGAATAACCACAGGCTGACTAGCCAGACTCACTGTGGGTATACTCGCTCTCTCTGGCACAGTGCAGGTCAACGCCGAGGCCCAGTGCTGTGTACGGTCTGTGGAGGTGTGTGAGGGAAAGAGGACCAACACAGGAGTCCAGTTTTGCTGCAACTCTGAGACTGTTAATAGTGCAACAAGAACACTCAATACAAGGAAGTAATAAGCCTAAGGGGGTATTAATGATCCCGTCAGCAGAGGAGTGAGACACCACCTTTGAACATTGGCTGCTAAGGTCTGCTTGCTACTCGTAGACAGAGACAAGCTACAACTTGGCAGCTGTAAATTATGGAGCACATTGTGTATTTAGACACTTGTTTTGGGAGAAAAGCTTCAGCTATGTCAAAGTGACGTTGGAGATGGTTTTACACATGGAATACGCCGAGGAAAACCATTACTCTGCATCTCCTCCCCACGATGAGAGGATCTCTCAAGGCTCATCCTGCATTCAGGCCCTCGGGGCATGACGCTGGTTGTGAGTAAGCCACTGGCTTCAGTCACTCAGACGAAGCAAAACAAGCAAAACTAGACAAGGCTTTTACACTTGGTTGCCTTTTGTCTCTGTGCAACAACACAACCCCAAAACCAACTGAAGTGGGGGCAGTTGCTGCAAGGAGAGAAAGCACCAAGCAAAAATGTGTAAAATGAATAAACTGTGATTAAATCTGCATCTGTTGGGAAATCAATGTGGTTCTCTCTCTCTGCAAATGGGGAAGGCGATCTGATCCACACAACACGTTTCACGTGAGCATGCATGAGCAGGCTGCACGCACACACACCCATGTACAGGTCGATGTGGACCCATATGTCAGTGGTACACCCGTTGTCATGGAAACAAGTCAGGCTACCTAATGTACCTTAACCATATCATGGCACTGACAACAAATTGGAGTTAATGTTGGAGATGAATGGATATATCTTGTGTTTTTCCTCTAAAACCCATAACTATCACAAACGTGGATGTGTGTTGCAGTGACTGGGAGGGTCTTTCAGTGCAGATTAATGACAGAATAGTCCTTGGCTGAATTAATCACAAGCTGTGCATGAGATCTGCAGGCCACTGAGAACATGCAGACTGGTGCACCATGTACTGCACATGAAACCGGGCCCATAGTGTTGCACTCACTGAGTTCTGGTTGCAACTGTGTTTATAGATCATAATAAGAAGAAATCGGTGCTCCGTGCATGCTGTTGTGCATCCATTCACACACGGTCTTCTTGCACCAGACCACCCAGATTGCACTGAGGCTACACGCTGCAGCTGATCCACTGGTGTTTCTGGGTTCAAGTGAAAGCCTGATCGTGGGGGTTGGGGTTGTGTTATGTCTCGGCTCTTACCGGTGGAGTGGTCCACGGGTCCGCCGCCGTTGCTGCCGAACAGGGCAGCGTACAGGTCAGGGTATGCCTTCTCCAGGGCCACACACAGGTCGAGGAAATGGTCGCTCTCCTTGTTCACCAGCATCTTCAGGAGGTGGTCCACTTTCTCGGCGCTGGACGAGCAGTTCTGCTCCAGCTCGAACCTGTCGAGTTGGCTCAAGGTGCCGGACACGATGAGCAGCTCGATCAGTCGGTCCGCGTCGGTGATGGACTCCAGCAAGTTCTGGTGGCACTGGTCGAGCAACTCTTTGTGCTTTGGCTCCATTGCTGCCCCGCTATAGTTCCGTAGCTCCCCTCCCCACCCACCCACCCACCCCCAGCTAACCCCGGACGGACCGAGTGGATGCGATATCCTCGCCGATCAAAAGTACCGAGCGATTTCTGAAGTCAACTTATCGCGGCTGGCAGAAGTTCGCCGGAGCCGCCGCGGCGTCAGGCTGCACGGGAGATCAATTTCTGTAGCATATTGAAAAAGGCACAAGGAGCCATATTTGTTGCCCAGGGCTGTTGACTGCACTAAACAGCGATACATTTTCCCATCTTACTCGTGTGCGGCGGTTCAGGTCGGTTTTCGCTTCCCCTCGCCGCGCGCCTCCACCGGACACATTTCGCTCCCCTCCGGTGTCATTCAATCCGCCCTGCGTCGCCTCTGGTGCGGGGAAAACTCACGTAACTCCGCCGCTGGTCCTCACTCACACTGGCTCCTCCGCCATGTCTGAGCGACTCAGCAGCTGCTGCCCGCTGTCAATCAACGCTCCGCTCCGTGACCGTATAAGGAGAAAAGGGGCGCGGTCCTCGCACAGGATACACCCCTTTCTTCAATGGGCGTACACATGTAGTACGTCGAAAATCCCTGACGTAAAAAAAGAAAAAACTGAGAATGGAGAGAATCTGCATGAAACAGTGGAGAAATGTAGAGGTGAAGAGGTGAAGATGGGTAAACAAACACCTGAGGTTCAGAGAGGAGGAGAGAGCACTTCCTGTTACTGCAGAGGTCACTTTACAAATATAGATTTTCCATGCACAACATGATGAGTATATAATGATAAGATGTAATACTAATAATAACAATAAAGATTTAATAACGCTTGCTCAATCCCAACCAACAGATTCATTTATAACAATATTATACTCGTATATCAATTTATCCATGTAGACAATGGATAGTGCTGTTGATGCCGTCATATTCCAAAATTTGTTGGATTTCTGATTATAATTTATTTTTATCTTTGAAAATCACTTTAAAATAAACCAAATATTCATGATTATTCTTTCCATCCTATAATATTTATTTCTATCCTATAATTGTTCAATGTAATTTAGCTGACTTACTATTTAGCTAATTATCAAAAGCGACTTCCAGTAAGTGCATTTAACCATGAGGGTACAAACCCAGAACAGCAAGAATCATGTTATATGATATGAATAATAAACTTGAACACGTAAAAGTAGTAAAATGACAATCAAAATAAGTGAACAAGTACAATAAAAGGTGAAAGGAAAATAATAAAATCACAGTAAAATCACAATATTATATGTATATTAGCTTCGTAAAAGCTAATGTACTTGCTTTTTGTAAATAACAGTATAGCTACTGTAGGGTCTGAATACTTTTTGCACCACTGGTGTTTCCCAGTGTAAATTCCATCACTGCTATGCAACTTTTCATATCATCATGGCGATTTGAGGAAATGTATTAATGTCGTAAAAATACTGTCAGCCAAAAATTGTGAAAGTGATATACCTTTAATTTTTTCATTTATTTTTTTTATACTTTTTTTAACCAGAGAGGTGATACAAGTCCTCTGGGAGAAATTAGTTTTGTATGTGTAAATACAAGCAGGGACAGACTGAAACACAGCAAACAGACCAAAGCACATAACAGATATTATGAAATACCTCATCATAAAGTTTTTTAATTAAAACGCAGACACATAACATCAGCAGAACCTAATCAATCACCATCTTCACTTACTACATTGGTTATATCACTCGGTCAAAAATTGCAAACGCAGTGATAATAAAAATATGAGTATTTTATTCAGGGCCTGCATAATACTGCTGTTGTAGCCACAGGCTTATTTGCACCACATTTCTATATCTAAGCTCCAACACTGCAACCAATTTCAGAATGCATTTTATCTTTGTGTTGGATAAGTGTAATGGAAAACTTGCATATGAACTTTACTTGAACTCTTTCCTATGTCTGATCAATGCTCGTGTGCTGTGTTCAACAATAACTCATATAGAAACACAACTGTGCTCGCATAAGAGGAGCTGTCTGGCGTATGTGCAGACGGACAATTCGAAACTAGAGAGACACCTTTTACATTTTTACCCTTAACTATCCAATGCCATGACTGTTGATATGCACTTGGCAGATGTAACCTCAGAGTTCATGTCCTTTCTTGATGATGATCCTCTTGTTGACCCTGATCTGGACAGTAGCAAACTTCTTCTTTCATGCAGAAGTAAGAGTAGACATCTTCCTGTTTCAACTAGACTACAGGTGGGATCAGTTTTTAATGCTATTAATCAGAAACAGTTGTCTCTTATGTTTCCTGTTTACCTGACTGTATAAAACCTTCTTCTTTCCCTATTCAGAGTTGTTTCACTCTGAGCATTCATGCTGAGTGTGAAACCCTGTGCAGAGCTTTCTATTAAATGACCTAAAGACAACTCCGGTCTGAGAAACTCTTTATTTCACTTCTCAAGATACATTTCCACCACATAAGATATAAGAGGGAAGGGACAAATGGAAGAAAAAAAATGTGTATTTCAAATGAAATGTGTATTTAAGTAGGATTTGTGGAATACGCTATGACGATGATGAATACACTCGGCTGCCGGTCTACAGCCGAATAAAGATTGTTGGTACAGAGGCAAGCGTCTGCAGGCATACCTCTCAAACCGTGACCTTATTCATGCATGCACTGAATCTCATTGTGACATCTACAACTCCCTCTCTTTTCCTCCCCTCTTTTTTCATGTCTCTCTGCCATGCTGGCTCCATAGCTTGTGCAACCATGTGCTATCTCCTTTAGATGAAATATTAATTAGAATTCATTCATATCAAAGGGAAGAGGGTCCCCACTGCTGACAGACTGGACGGCCGTGTCTGAACTCTGCTTCTGAGGACATGCACTTGAACAGAGGAGACAACCTGATGCTTTTTTGTCTTGGGGGTATGAATTGATTTATTATTTAGACAACAGGGGTTGTGTTTTTAGCTGTGTGGTGATAATTATATATATAATTATCATTAAACAGATTTGTTTTGCAGACAGCCTGGATCAGGGTTGATAATAGCTTTATCTTTTATTGAAGAGACTGTCAACAAGCCTATCCATCTTTTATTGTGGGCAAATAGTCTCAAAGTGAGAATTTTGTGCATTTTTTATTGAATGACTGAAAATAGAGCAAGGTAATGGAAATCCTGTCTGTGCTGAGGGGGGAAAAACACTTGCTTTATTATCCACTCACTTTTAACATGCTTTTATTTACTGCAACTATGCATAATTTATTCTCAGCAACAGTTTATCTATCTTCATCCCTGTGAGAATGCACAAGGGTAAATGGTGTTGAATGGACACATCGGGTAGCTGTGTCTCAGAAAGTAGAGCGGGTTGTCCACTAAAAAGAAGTTTGGTGGTTTAATTCAATTAAGTGTCCTTGGGCAAAATACAGAGTACTGCACTGTAAGACTGGACTATAAAGACAAGAAAGGTGCTATATAAATGTAAACCATTTACATCTGAGCTAAAGGAGGCAGCAACATGTTAGAAGGAAAAACCTTTGTTGGTGTCTAGATGTTTTAAAGTAAATATCATAATCACAATATCTCGACACCCCAAGGTGCAGTGAGATCATTCCCGAATGATTAGATCACTTATAATAGACATTAAGGTAATTCATGGTTTTTAATTAACAGTGGATTACACAGCCTTCAGTTGCTGGACGCCTGCTGCTGCTGCTGATGATATCAAAACTACGATGCTGGCAGATGCCTGCTGAAACACTTTAAAATTTCCTTGTGAAATCAACCTAATGATGTCTAAATGATCTCCTCAAAACCCATCTAATCGCACCTAATCTTCATTAAGATTCTAGTTGTTGTAATCTAAACATCGATCTGAGGGCCCCGAGCTTTCTCTGCCATTTCTAGTCAATTCTAACACGACGTGATCAAAACTGATTCCTCCAGCATGGCTGTGTTCCCTGAGCGTCCCCCAGGCCCCTGATAGCACTGCAGACATGCTAGATTTGTTTAATGTGTCCAAGGCAGCTTTATGGATGCCATCAATTCCACCCCCCCACCCCCCTCGCCTCACTTCACAGAGTTATTGATCGTAGTGCAGTTAACTTTCTCTCCTACACACACACACACACTGTAGTCAGCCGAGTCCAGAGCCACATCTCACCAGTGAGTGTTCAGCAGCAAACAGAACTTAATTAGGCATGAAGAGCGTCATGTGCAGCCACACGTACTGGCCTCACACACCGAGAGCAAAGAGGGATGGTGTATTTGTATTGAGTGAGTAAATGGCTGCAGATTGAAGAACCACCAGTTGGTTTTGGTTCTAAATGGGACACTTCAACATATTCAGTGCAGAATCGTGTGGCCAAGTTTAATATGAACTGTGACCATGATGATTGATGCGATCATAATAATTCTCGTGAACTTATGAACCGCTTGTTGAAATTCACACTCCTGGTGTCGCTCTTTGGTTCGACACAAGGACTTCACTGCATTCTAGTGGCAAGCTGATTCTACTACAGATGCAATAGAAACGTGTTGGATTGTGAAGCCGAGCACTGATCACAGGGATTTTCATTTAGTTCTTTGTAATAATTACTTCGAACAAGGAGGTTATGTTTTCATCTGTTTCTTTATTTGTTGGTGTGTTAGCACCTGGATGGATTGTCATGAAACCTGGTGGAAGCACCACAAGGTATGGGTCAGGGAAGAACTCATTAAAATTTGGTTTAGATCCAGATCAAGGGGCGATATGTCTTTAACATTGCGAGATTCAACAATTTAGTTGATTTCTCAAAGAATAATTCATGGATCTTGATTTGAAAAAAATCCAGCATGTTCAAGGGACTGATATTTATCAGTCAGTGCAATTCTATTACAGATCCAGATAAAAATCTTAATCTAGTGAATTGAAATGTGGTTTGATAAGGGAAATGTTGGGCCTTGATGACGATATGTGCTCTACAGTATACAGTTTGTGTGACAAACCACAAATGTTGCCACTGTATGTTCTCAATGTTTATTTTTTGAGACTCAACAATTTATGAAATCTGATGCTATGACTTCATATGCAACAATGAAACATATATGACACACTAGATAAAGAATGTCCCCAAACACTATGATTAACAAAACACTGTAAACTGAAGACAAGATATGGAAAAGACAATACAGTTGCAAACATTAAATTTGGCGCTCAGCTCCTATGTATTCTGGGTCATACTTTAAATTTTAACTTCCTTTTATTGATCCCACAAGGGGAAATTCTTTTTACACTCATGTTTTCATTTTATACATGCATTAACCCACAATCCCACACACACACACACAGAGGGCACAAAGACATGCACATTTTGGAGAGAGATGGTAGAGTGATGGGCAGCCCCAGGAAAAGCGCCCTATGAGCAATTGGGGGGTACGGTGCCTTGCTCAAGGGCACCTCAGCAGTGCCCAGGAGGTGAACTGGCACCTCTCCAGCTACCAGTCCACCTTCCATGCTTATGGTCCATGCTGGACTTGAACTGGCCACCCTCCGGTTCCCAAGCCAAATCCTTATGGACTGAGCTACAGCTTTGCTGAACATTAGAAAAAAAGCTGATAAACATTGCAGATATCACTACATATCTGATAATAATGGCACATAAGAAATAAAATGTTATAAATATATAGCTTTTAAAAATCAATATGTCATCTCTAACAAATCTATTGTATGGCCGTGTGTATCTAACTCAAATAATCAAAGATTTCACAAATGAAAAAATATAGAACATTTGATTGCATACTGTATATAGAAAACAAATGAAGCAATATATGAGGTTCTTACAACTAGGTAAACATTGCATTGATAGGCTTGGCATGCAAGTTTGTAGTTTGTGTATAGTGCGCATAGAGGAGATATAAAACTGATATATAATGAAAACTGGAGTAGACATTGTTTCCAGTTCAGTCACTGCCCCCACACAGCTTCAGGAGGAGTTTCTTGTAGTCTCCTGATGTGTCTCCCTATCAATAAAATTAATCAGCGATTAATTCACATATTTGTCTTTCTGTTATGTCTACTTGTTAGTTTTAAATAATTTACACAAATGTAAGGTTATTTCCTTTGCATGAATACAGTATGGCATGGAGTTACTTACAGAGATGTGTGTGTACAGCGATTTGCCGTAGTTTTTAACATACTCCTGGCGGATATCCAGCATGTCAACCTCAGAACGGGACACCATGATCCGGATCAGGGTTGTGTCTTTGGTCCCAGCTCCCTGAACACATGTAAATATACAGACACACAATGAGTGTGTGATATAAACTCGAATACTATTTTGAACTTATTATACAGAAAACTGCAATCCAAACAAGAGGGAGAGCATCACCTTCATGGCCTTGTAGAGCCTCTCAGCAAAGTAGCCAGGTGTGTTCTTAATGCACTTCACTGAAAGAGTAGAGAAGAGAACATAATTATTGCCAACACATGTACTGTGTTATCTTTCATTCATACGTTGTCTCTTTAAATAAATCAAATTCAGAGCATTAGGTTACTCTTGGCTGCAAGAAGAAATCTGCAATATATTACACGACATTGTGAGGATAATGAAGACAGCAATAATCTACGTATATGTGCAATCTAAAATGTGACTTAACTAAAATCAAGCTGCACAAAAATCAAAATAATGTAACAGAGGTTGTCAACAAGCAAACTTAAAGCTGCAGTAACCAACATTTGTGTATTTAGAAAAGCAAGAAGGACTCTGTCGAAGGTCATTCAGAGTGAAGAACCCATCGAGCATTATTATTATTAAAGCACCGTTACTATAGCATCTCACCAAAGAGCCAGAGGTGTCTAGGTTTTCTGATGGCATTGACCGAAACAGAGCTAAAAGGAGTAAATAATGCACTTGCATTCATCAGAAGCAAGAAATATGAACCCTGTGAGGTAATAATGTTGCTATCGCCCTTTTAATCAGGTGAGCACCTGTGAAAGAGGGAGAGGAGAGAGCCGACAATGCTGGACAGATGCCAACACTGTTTTGTCACATGTATCTTGCAGAACTCTGCCATGCCATCCAAAAAGTTTACACTGGGGCAGCATGATGTCGGCTTTGTTTGGTTCGATATAGTAATGGTTTTCGTCATCTTGTTTAGTGGTCAAATATCGATTACTGCAGCTTGAAAGTGAGTTATAATTTGGAAAAATGTTAACATGCATGAGAAAGCGAATGTGAAATCAGAAACCAAAGAATGGTCTATGAGAGTAAAATGAAACCACATCAAAAAAACCAATAGACCACATACAACACTGCAGTGCACACCACCTCAAAAATAAGACATATAGACTAGGTGATGAAAAAACTATGGAAAATTTCAAACAAACACATGTTACTGTACCATAAACCTGAGATATGTTGGCCAAAAAAGAAAACACAAAGAGGATTACACCTTTAACAGGATCGGTAACCCAACACAGCAATACAGTCACGTTTACTTGTGTACTAAGCAATAGCAGCAGTGCAGCTTGTTATATAATGAGAATGTAAAATGTTTATTTGTAGATGTCCATTCACGTGAACTGGGCATGCACGTGCCTGTGTGAACAGGAAGCCTTTGTTTAAGGCTGTGTGTTTTAAAATGCAATTATTATACTAAAACGAGAGCCAGCTCAGTTTCCAAAAATCTTATTTTAAGGGCTTGAAAATATAAAAACATATTAGTGTCAATGTAGCTCAAGACCAGACTTGAGGAGGTGTGTATTGTGTGTGTATTCTTACCAACTGCCAGCATGCCACTCTCAAGGTCTCCAGACATCTCCCTGCCGATACTCTTCTGGATATCTCTTCCACACATCTGCTGGTACTCGAGAAACACTACACACACACACATACACAGTCCATCAGGATTATATACAGCAAAGGACCGAACTTGCATTATGGCCCAATTCTTGATTATTCTTAAATACTGCACGTCTCAATTGTTGAACTAGATTAGATGAAGCCTGTGAATACCTGTTCTGAGATGTGGTTTGCTCCTGGCACACAAAATAGCATTGAATTTGGACTCATCTGTTCCCAGCTTGTTTTCTCCAGCAGCATACAGGGCCTGTTTGGAAGAATTTGTATTTCTTTGCAATGTTGAAAATAAAAAATTAAAAGATTTAATATTGATGCTCATGAAACTGACTTTACCTGAGCATCCTGTTTAGCCAGAGAGATGTCAACATTAGGCCGTTCATCACGATTGCCCTTTAATGTACAGAGAAAAACCTTCCTGATTAAATCTGAAAATAGTTGCTAAGAGGTATCAGGTATACAGGAAATTATTTATATATCTGTACCTGGGCGAGAGAGATCAGGAGCCTGCGGAAGTGGCCTGAAGTATCTCCGCTGATGGCATCCTCCAGAGTCTTCTTGAATTCTGAAAATGATCGAGAAGCCATTTTAGAAACAAAGTCAGATATTCAGGAAATGACCAGGATCTGATTTCCTGGCAAGGGAAGCATAAAAAATAAAACGGCAAATAATGCCTCAAGGAATTTAAGGATTCATTTAATATCATATAATACCTTTATGCATTTGTAGTTGTCCTTGATATCATTGCCTTCATTTTGACTAAAAGTGCCAGGACTTGATATCTGATTCTATTTGACAAATTTATCACCATAAAGTTAGCATTTTTAAAATCATGGTAATACCCAAATCTAGATATACAGAGCTTATCCACCAGAGACATAAAAGATGTTCAACACAGTGGTGTGATACAGTGTGATAAAGGAGAACACAGCAGTGGAGGAAAGCACTGCATTAACCACCCTGAGGCCCCTCACCTTGTTTGTAAATGCGGTTTATCTCCTTGATTTCAGCGTTGGAGCGAGAAGACAGAATCTCAATAAGACACGCTTCATCGGTTCCAGCTCCCTGTTAGGAAAACAGAGCAACAATCACCAGACAACCTAGCCAAGTCAAAACTACTCCAAAGTGAATGTTCAGTGAAATCCACAGAATTCTAAATCATGTTTTTTTCTGTGTTTTTACCTTGATGGCACTGTTGAGCTCGTAGGCATCAAACTCAGCTGGGCTCTTCAACATAGCCATGACCAGCTTCCTGAAATCTCCAGATAGTTCAGAATGCAGGTCCTTAATTAGATCCTAAAAATAGAAAGATGCTTGCAATAACTACAAACCATCATTAACTGCTGCTGTGAAACACACACGGAAAGAAATTCTGTGGCATAACTTTAATGAGCTCTGAGGAAATTCAATCCCTTCTCCATTCGACTGACAGCACCTGTTGTCTGCTCGTCACTGTTAACCACAGCTAGGTGGTGTATACTGAGCCATGTATGAGTCTATATTAGTAAACGGTGTTTGTTCTGTATACAATTTTCTAAAATTGGATGCACTCCTTATGTTACCACACTAGCATGTAAAGTATAGAAAGTTACAATGTGCATGAAAAGGACTGTTACCTTCCCATAGGAAGTTTTGTAGGACCGCAGCAAAGGCACACGCTGCTTGTTGGAGCGACTCCCCAGTAAGTCGATTATGGCTTGCTCATCGGTTCCTGCAGAGACAAGCCGTTCAAATCGTTCAAATCAAATGCAGATTAAAGAAAGTACCTATTTCATTCATACTAAGACATGGCATTAGACAAATCTCTTCTTAATCGAAAAAATATAGCCTAACCTCAAAATTAAGGCTAAAGCATCTTTGTCTGATAACAGTTGTTAGATTTCTTATTATTAATAATAATATCAAATTCTGTCACACAATGCAGCTCAGAAATAGCTACAAGAAATAAAATAACAAGTAGGAAACCATGATTTAAGTCTGCCCACAGCACTCACCAAAGCCCTTCATGGCCTTTCTCAGGACTTCCACATCCTTAAGTGGGTCAGCTCCAGGATAGTCCTTGATTGTTCCCCTGAATCCCCTCTGACATAAAAAGAGAGCCATTTCCATAATGTCACTGTGTTATTCCAATAAACAGTTCATTCTGTTTAACATGGTAAACACTTAAAAGTGAGTGTGTGCAACACATTAAAAACAGAGATGTATGGTGTCAGTGTCTCTTACATTGATAGGTGGAGCTATTGGCATGGCTCCTCCTCCATAGGCTGGCATTGATGGATTTGGTGATGGGCCCTGTGTGTACCCTGGCATAGGTGCTGGTGCTCCTCCAAAACCGGGCATGGAAGGATTAGGTGATGGGGCACGAGGGTACCCTGGCATGGGCTGTCCAGGCTGACCTGGGTAGCTCATCCCTGGGGCTTGGTGTTGAGGCATGGTCCCTCCTGGCTGTGGGTACAGGCCACATGACTGTTGGTTAGGGAAGGAGGCACCATACCCACCAGACTGAGGGAGAGGTGGGTACCCCCCAGGGGCTTGGGCGAACATGGAAGGGTTTGGAGTGAAACCCCCCATGCCTGAAGAGATCTGGTTGGCCTGTGATATGGAAAGATTGGACAAGTCCAATATGTGCAAAGATCCTAGGAAACTATTATAGGCAAAGCAAACATAGCTGGTCACACCTTTTTGGGAAAATATTTGTTTTGCTTTGTTACTTTTACTAAATGTTTGAATTAATTTGATTTTAAGAGACCATATCTGCATTAATGTTCAACATATTTTTTTAATTGTCACACAGATTCTGGATCCAACTTCAGCAGAAAACGTGAAGTTAATGTTTCTGAGGTTTTGAACCATTTACAAAATGTATCCAAAAAAGTGTGACTAGGCTGTATTACAGAATAGAAATGTCGACATGCAAAAATAAGAATACAGAATAGACAAACATTGATCAGAGAAGTAAAAGGGGTTAAACTAAAAGGTTGCATCACACTAATAGGTTTTAGAAGCATGGATAAGAATGTATGTGAGGATATGAGGAAAGTATATGACTGTTTTCTCATGCAGAGAATTTGAAAGAGAAGCTGACGAAGAAAATGGCAATGCTAAAAAGTTTAGGACTTGAACTTTGGAAAGGTCTTACCATATAGTCAGAGGATGCCATATTCCATTAATGGCAGAGAATTAATTCTAACTGGAATATTCAGTGCAATAATCTGATCATGTTGCATTAAACATACATTAAGAATTTTCTGGGTGCAGGTGAAGGTATTTTTTTCCGATAAACTTACCATGCCAGCATTGTATCCAGGGTTGGATAAGCTGTCAAGACCAATGGAGGGATAACCACCGGTCGGGCCGCCACCCCAGCTGCCTGGAGAAGATAACAAAAATATATTACGCTACTAAATGCCTGAAAGAAATTAGTATTGAATTTTAGACTGAGGTCTTGAAGGACCCCTCTTCCTGGGAACTTCCTTTTTCTCACTTTCTAACTAGTTAACGTGCAGGTGAAAAGAGTGCTGGACAGAGAATGGGAGTACTATATGAAGGATGAACTGTGAGACTCACTTCTCTGAGCAACAGCAGAGGTTTGTTTGTTTCTGAGGGGACAAAAATTCCACTCTGCTAACTTTAAGTCTCATGATCAGTGTTGCCTACAAACACAACTGACTCACTCTTCCTACAAGGCACCAATATTTGACAACGACGTTTCAGTGAATTAAATAAATATTCGATTATCAAATCGTAAAGTAATGCTCATGTTTGCCCTGATGTTAATGCTGTATGAAGAAGTGGGCATTTTTATACAATAACAATAATGAGTTGCTTGTACATGAAATGTATTTCTCTGAAATATGATTTTGTAGTATTCCAGTCATAGATCATTTAATGCAACTTTGGATATTTACATGTGTGCCCAGTCTTAATGCGAAGCTAAGCTGATAGTGTCTTTACAACACAGACACGAGATTGGCATCAAGATCTAACTCTAACAAAAAAGTGAAAAACACACCCCAAAGTGTCACATTGTTAATGTCCAGTGTCACATGCATGCTCACCTGGTGGTGGTGCCTGTGGGTAGCCTCCTGCTTGTGGTGGATAGCCTCCGGCTTGGGGAGGGTAGCCACCAGGCTGAGGAGGGTAGCCACTCGGCTGTGGTGGGTAGCCTCCTGCTTGGGGAGGGTATCCGCCTGCCTGAGGTGGGTAACCGCCTGCCTGAGGTGGATATCCCCCTGCCTGAGGGGGGTAACCGCCTGCCTGGGGAGGGTATCCGCCAGCCTGGGGAGGGTATCCGCCAGCCTGAGGAGGGTATCCGCCAGCCTGAGGAGGGTATCCAGGGTAGCTCATTGCTTTAATCAAAAAACAGAAGAGTTAATCAAAGGGTTGGTAAAAAAAAAAAAAAAAAAACAGTTGCAAATAAAACAATGATCATTTTGTGCAACCATCATAACAAACATGCACAACTTTCTCTACTAAATGTTGCTCAGGGGAATAAAAGAAGTAACTGTTCACTGTTAATGGCAACTTTAAGACATATCCATGAATTGACATGGCAACAACAGAATTAAAAATAGCCAGCAGTAAACCTTCTCCTGCTCATCTAATAATTATTCACTGAGCCTTTATATACTATGTATAAAATGTAGCTCAGACTTAATTATATAGTTAGCTTTATATTAGAGCAGCTCGTCTGCATAGCAGGGCAGGGCCTGTGACAGTGAATTTCCTTTAAACACACCTCAAACAGCGACAGGCTTATTGAACAAATTCTTCTGGTTTCAGTTTTTTCCAGTGAGTTAGTAGTTAACAGAGTTTCTCAATAGTCACTGTCATTAATGAAAGGCAAACCCAGTCATTTCAGGGCTGTTGGATCAAATCCATTTTCAGCTGCATGTGGTGGGCTGGTGAGGAAACTTTCATTTTGCCCAAGCTTTGTATGAAGAGTCTTTGGTCCAGCCGTACTTGTTCCATGGTTAGTGACTTCAAGCGATCTTAACAGAACAGTCGTCTTTTATTTGCATTTTACGAACGCGAGAAAAAAAAAAGAAGGATCTGCAGCGTTTGAATATGCAAACGAGGCCGGGCAGCTGGAATCATACGAGACAGAAGAATTTACATCCAGAGAATATAGAAAATATTTATATCATCTGGTTTCTTAAAAGTTTTCCAATCATCAGTGGCTCAGGATTGCATACTGTGCGAAACTAGTACTTCCTTTAATTGCACACCTAATTCCTTGTCCATATGTGTTGAACCGAGTTCTAACACATGACAGAAGAGCAATGTGTGGTTTCCCGTGTTTCTGGATCATGTGTCATTGACGCACCACATCCAGGTTTCAAATAATACTAAGATAGTTTGAAAGATCCACACTGACTGCACAGCTCCAAACCTGAGGACAGCCATATTTGCTGAAGGGGCTGTGGCACTACTACAGACACTGATCACTACATGTTCCAAAGAAAAGACGCTTCAACATTAGGTTAGCATGACTCCCTTAAGGGTTGCTATTAGCTAATACTGTTTACACCGCAACGATTAGCCTTTGGGGCCTTCGGGCATTAGCAAGCTAGCTAACCATGAAGAAGGCACATAAACAGCGGCGGACTGAAACTTCGGGCTCGTCGTGGCCTTAAGTGGTTAAAGACGGATGTGCAGCGGTGTTCGATCGAGAAGGGCAGAGTGACGTGACAGCACAAAAACGAGTGTGTGAACAGTTTCTACTCTTTCAAACAGAAGTTCAACCCTGAGCTAATGTCCCCTTCACTGTCCCAGCTCGAGTTATTGAAAGTTGGACACTTACTGTGGGGATTTTCAGTCTCTTCCTGGAGGACGATTCTCTCACCAGGCGCAGTCTGGACTGTGTAGAACTAATGTGGGTGGGACTCAGAGTTTCCATTTAAGGAACCCACCTATTTGTCTGCAGCTAGAGAGAGAGAGGGAGGGAGGGAGGGAGGGAGGGGGAGGGAGAGAGAGAGAGAGAGAGAGAGAGAGGGAGAGGGAGAGAGAGAGGGAGAGAGAGAGCAGTGACAGCCATAAACAAACACACACACACATCATACATGAACATTACTGGCATGATGGAAAATGTGACACACCGACCTCACGTCATGTTTCACAATAGCTCTATTATCTGTCAGGTGTGTCCACGTTCTTTCTGTTTGTTCCATGATTTGACTTTGTGAGGCTCTTTTTCCAAAAGTGTTAGTATGAAAAGAGCCATAAGAATAAAATCCAATTGACTGGTTGATTTAAAATGAATCAAGATTTCACTGATATGACAAAGGCACTGATTCTTGATCAGGTA